GCTCGGCTTTGAACCAGCAGGTGTGCCACCTTCGTGAAAGGACAGAAGGATGCTCTTTAAAGGCAAACAGTATACAGAATTGGGCAAGCGTTGCACTGGAGACGGGCCTTCGATATGACTCATACGAGCATTAAGTTGAATCCAAAATCTACCCATTTTATTTTGTTTGCTTTTTCAAGCAGACACTTAAAATTGCTCATTGTCGTTTTGATTACTGGGCTGCCAGGAAAATGATGGGAAACTCAAGGTGCAGCTACACTGGAGGGCGAATGCAGTTTGAGACCACTTTAACTGCCTCAGCCAAGTGCAACTGAAGCACGGGAGCGGCGGCTTCACAAGTTCTTTAGCTTCCTCTGCCCAAGAGTACCAGTCCCTCACTAAACCACAACTCCCAGGGTTATACAGCATTGCACTGTAGCAGTTAAAGTGGTGTCAAAGTGCATAATTCTACAATGTAGATGAGGCATGGGCCAACTTCGGCCCTCCTTTTGGACTTCAACTCCCACAATTTCGACTGGCTGTTAGGAATTGTGGGAGTTGACGCCCAAGACACCTGAAGGGAGGGTGGAAGTTGGTTCTATGTGACAAAAGTGAAGTATCCGGGTCGTTATTCTCTAAACAAATACTTACGTCAGACCGAAAGCCTCCCCGACTTTGATGGGTCTGAACTCTTGCCGAATGGCTTCCTCGTACGGGATTCGTTGAGAGGTTTCAAAGCAAGAGAGAGTGGCCAATGAGCAGGTGTCGCCAAACAGCCTGGAATTAAATAATATAAATCATTAAATAATACACAGCTGTATATTGCAGCCACACATAGGCTGGGTCTACACTGCCATATACTGCAGTTTGGGACTACGTTATCTGGTCGCTCTAGGGCAGGAATGGGCAAACTTGGGCCCTCCCTCCAGGTGTTTTGGACTTCAACTCCCATCATTCCTAACGCCCGGTAGGCTACTAGATATTTTGGGAGTTGTTCTGTCGCGCGCTGGGCCTGTAAAGAATTGTCTTTAGAACAGGACGTGCAACCTTTGCCCAGTGGGGAGCCAGGAGGCCCAAGGAGAAGTTCTCACAGGTTTTCCACCACAAATGATCTTTAGATGGCTTGTGAAGTATAACAAAGTCTTTTATTAATGAACAATCAAACAGAAACTTCTCTTGTCTTCAGAAAGATAAGGATGTCAAAAGGAAGAGGAAGCAGGCTTATTTTCTACTGCCCTCAAAACTAGGACTAGGAGCCATGGCTTCAAACTACAAGAAAGGAGATTCCATCTGAACATGAGGA